ATGAATGAAAGTTTATTGTATTAAGCAAGGCACCCGACTAAAACCAACTGTACTTTCTACCTCTTACCTGATTGCAATTTTTCCCCAAAATTTGGTTTCCATCGTTCAATGTTTGGCTATTTATAAGGGTGTGAAGGACGGACAGATGAATGGACTAACTTAAAATATTTTATTGAAAAATATCAAATGTTTTTTTCGTAAAACTAGAGTTTTAAAAAATTAGAAAAAAAGATGATGTAACGCAATTGATATGCATATCTATTCTTCATCTCTGTGCAGTGTTACTTTACGAAGTTGACGAACATGGGTCTCCACATTTACCAGTCCTTTCTAGCACTTTTAGCTTTTCGTTATCTCTCCTAAACCCTGTTATGCCATCCATTTACACGAGCTCCTTAGGTAGTTTATAAGTTTTTTCCTCTGTTCCTCTAGCCTTCAATATATCCTGTGAGTATCAAATTTTCCAAGCACTCATTCCTAATTATGAGGCCTAGAAATTTTAACTTTCTTTTTCGGGCATTAATTATTAGTGTCTTTTTGGTTTCTATTTTCTCTAAATCTCCCTCATTGCTCATATGTTCAGTTCATAATATTCTCATCATGCTTCTGTAGAACCACATTTCTCTTGCTTCAAGTCTTTTCTACAGCAGTGAGTTGATTGTCCTGCATTCACTACTATATAGTAGAAATGATATTACATAACAGTGCAGTACTCTTTGCTTCGTTCCGAACGAAATTTTCCTGTTTTATAATCTATTCCTTAGTTTTCGGAAAGCATCTTTCGCTATTCCAATAATTCTTCGGTTTTCATTGTCGTATTTTCCTTTCCTCTATTCTAAATATTTATTTTTTTGTATCTGCTTCATTTTGATATTTCCATTTTGTAATTTGCAAGTTGGGCTGTACTGTTAGCTGATTGCTGTCTTCTTGAAGTTGAGGTTTCGTCTTTTCTTCTAGATTACCTTCATTATCATCTGAGAGGATTTCATTTAGTTTCCTTTCTCTGGCTATTTTAACATTCTGTCATCTGTATAACTTGTGTTGTTAAGATTATCACCACAAACGTATTGAAATACACAATGGCTACCTCTCACTCTCTCGCTTTCTCTTTATATCTATCTATTTATTTCTCTTTATATATATATATATATATATATATATATAAATAGAAGGCGAGAGTGAGAGGGAGAGACAGATAGATAATAATGACACCACAATATTTACGTAATTAACAATACCCTGATGATGACATCATGCTATGTCGAAAGTACACGAATAATACAATAAAATATGAATCAACACGGCGTTTTCCACTCGTCCTTTAGTAATCACAAAAAATCTCATCCATGAATATGAAAGGATCCTATGGAGAATAAGTAGACAGAACAAGTTAAAATTATTCAACAAAACCTGTCTATATATATATATATATATATATATATATATATATATATATATATATATATATATAATTTGAAAAAAGGACCCACGTGTGCTTCTTATATGTAAAATAGATAGGTTAGTTAATGAAACAAGGGAAAAGGAAAGGGTACCAAAAGAATCAGTACGATAAACATTTATTAATTATTAAGAATATGACAGAAATGATGCGCGGAAAGAAGGGTTTAAAGTTCGGAATTTTCGGACACGCCTGTGTCCTTCATCAACGGACCGAAGAATAAACAGAGAAATGAGAATTACTCAACGACAGATATTTTTGGAAATGGAATATTTTCTAGTGGGAATCGTATTGTAACCAGAAAACGATCTTTTTTACGAAAATAAACTTAAGTTTGAAATTTTCATCGGTGTAAAAGCGTTAGGCAGGTCTATTATTACTAGAGGGGGAAGTGAGGGGAGTAAGATTGCAAACACCGATGAAGAGAGGTATAGGTTGAGGAGAGAGAAAGACGTCTCGTGTGTAAGCAAGTTGTAGTGAAAAAAATTGTAGTACAAAGTTGTCAAGTGTAGAAAGATGGGCTGTGGTTAGAATGTGATGTGATGAAAAAATGAGCGAGGAGTAAAAATTGGATTATATAATAATAAAATATTATTGAATAAAATGAAATGAAAAGAAAAAAGTGAAGGGACAAAATGGATAAAAATTTGTAAATCTATTGTTAACAAAAAGTGGCTACAGAAAATAAAAAAAATAAAGGAAAAACTATTTGGAAAAGCGTATACATATATAGATGCACGTCTGTACATAAGTGCACATAAAAGTGCTTAATATACATAAACATATGAATCTCAATACACGTAAAGGTATGAATACCTGCCAAATATTAATATGTACTTCTCTGTTTATCCCTCGGTCTGTTGATGAAGGACACAGGCGTGTCCGAAAATTCCGAACTTTAAAACATTTTCGTTATATATATATATATATATATATATATATATACTTGTTACTATATCTGTATAACCACTTGGAAGATGGTTCCTGTGAGCCGAAAGATTAGATCAAGGACAAACTTAAAAAATATCCATGTGTTGGAAAATTTTGTCTTTATTTACACCCGAAATTAAAGAGAATATACAAGAATTAGAACGGCTCATAGGAATAAAGTGTCGCTGCCAACATTTGAGTTTGAACATAGATCGCCAGTGAGCAAACACAGATGATCCCATTGTTGAATTAAGTAGATCACGTGACCATGGGAGAAACGCATAAGTAGGTAGTAGCGTGTCGTCTAAACTATCCACATTTCTAGTCTGCCCTCTATTACTTTCAGATCACTATACGGTGGTTACTTTCAGAGCGAGTATTATCGAGCGAGTATTATTGGTGCGAGAGGTAATTGAAGGGGTTCGACACCAGTATTGTTCAATGGCGTTACTATAGTCGCATATTCGATTTCAAAGTCTCTACTACAACGAGCATTACGAAAGTAACATCGATTAATCGTTGAAATCACAAAAGTGGGAACTAGTGTTCGTTGACACCACAAATATATATATATATATATATATATATATATATATATATATATATATATATATATATATATATAGCACTACTCAGCCAGAGACATACATTGCACTTACATGAAAAAATATATTTGCGTGATGACTGCAGTATCAGGTTGATTCTATGCCGCGTAGCGAATGTTATTGTTATGTAGTGGTTTCACAGTGGAGGCTTGTATTTGTACTAAGTCGGTCCTAAAATAGTTTCGACGTACAAAACGTTAGGAACTTGATATAATAGGTAATGACGCAGCAATCTAGTTGTGGTCGCTGATACTTTAGTATCCGACTAACAGTCGTCCGACATCGACTGACTGACCAACTCTCTAAGCGACTTCTACTACTATTACTCCTACTTATTATAGGTGGGAGAGTCTATTAACTATAGAATAGGTGTGTTCTACTATAACAGTTATTGAGATGAAGGAAAAGAAGATCTACTTGATGTAAGGTAGAGCTTCGGAACTTCTTAACGGCCTCCTCGTTCAGTCCCAATAAATAATTATTCACACCATTTTAACCACAATAAGATATACATATATTTTTTTTGTTTCTTTTATCGAATTCCATGGTCACTCAGCTCTCAAACTTTGTCCTTAAAGACCCTCCATGAGTTTCTTATCTACTGATATAAAGAAAAAAAATGCACAACTGTCAGGAGAGAGAAATATAGGTGTACAAAATTTTTGCAAGGAAATAAATTTCCGAGGGGTAATTTAATACATAAAGTTACTTTAAGGATCAACGTTCATTTTAACACACCATTTATTATAAAATCCCATAAGTTAAAGGAGGGGAATGGTTTAGACATAGAGTTTTAACTGCGGATATCTCGGCTTGTTTCAGGCGATGTTATCACAAAACTTCAAATCTGTAACATATATATATATATATATATATATATATATATATATATATATATATATAGCTTATCTGGAGCAAAATTAGATTTTATACACGCACATATATGCAATAACTCATTTTGCTTCAGATAAGTGTTATATATATATAGTGTTATATATATATATATATATATATATATATATATATATATTGAGAGAGAGAGAGAGAGAGGAGAGAACTTTTATACATTTTACAGACAGGTTTATAATCAAATATCTTCGATAATTACACCAATCATCCACTTGCATTTCTTAAAATAAGGTTATTGTCTGAGTTAATAGTTTTATACATGTACTAACAACATGTATAAAATTATTAACTCACACAATAAACACATTTTAAAAAATTTCTATAAGTCAAACAACAAACCTGTTATTGAACCCATCTGTAGTTGTAGATCTAGAGAAAACTGTCCAGTAGAGGAAAAAATGCCAATTTAAAGGTTATATATCAAGCGATGGAAAGAAAATGGGAACAATTATTGTTTCGAATTTTCACGGGGAAGCGGGGGAATGGAAACACAGATTTTATACCCGTAGGCATTAATTTTCTGACCCTAAACTGAAACACCAGAGAGCTCTTTCAAAATAATTTGGGGAATTGAAGAAGAAAGACAGTTTGGAAAATTATAGTTTCCGCATGTGTTTCTAATAGTCTTAGAGATAGATGTGACTTATGTTTAGAAGAAAAGATTAGAATAATAAAATACAATAAAATACAATAATCAAAGCCAACTGTTGAATCAGAGGAATAAATTAAAATGTCGACATAAAAAGAAATTCTAATTTCCATAATTTAGGTTTAACTGAATTAGGTACTATATTTCCATAATATACACTCCCCCTCTAATTCTTCAAATGTCGACAGTATAATTAATTGTAATTTCTATATTTTATTTCCCTCTCCTATCTATAACCTATTAATGTGTAAGCCCGCTACTTAAGTCACGCGTTGCTTTCACTTGTTCTTCTTGCCCTCGATTCGCCCCATGTGTATCAGATTTTCCAAGCCATCCTTTCTCATTACGTGTCTCAGAAATTTCAGTTAAATCCGCATTTTTCCACAATTGTTCATGTTTGTTTTGTCAAAATATGATTGAAACAGGTGAATCTAGTTAAAATGTAAAACTAATAGAGAGAGGAAAGAAAGAATGAGAGAGAGAGGGGGGGAATAATGAGAAAGGGAAGGGGGCAAAGAATGATAGATAGATAGATAGATAGATAGATAGATAGATAGATAGATAGATAGATAGATAAAAAGAGAGAGGGGAGAAAGAATGACAGAGGAAGAGACAGAAAAACTGAGGGAGAAAAATGATAGAAAGAACGATAAAGACAAAACAGGGAATGAGAGAGAGTGGAACAGACAGAAGGAAATAAAAGATGTCTAGAGAGAAGGAACGAGAAAGTGTGAGACAGGATAGAGAGAATATATGAGGGAGAGAGCGAAAGAACTGACGGAAGGGGAAAACGAATGAGAGAGAGGATGAGACAGAAAGTATGAGGAAGAATAAGACAATGAATTATAAGTAGACTAGAGAGAAGAAAAGCGAAAGGGAGAAACAAAATAATCATGACGAAGACCGATAACAAGGGGATGAAGGAGGAAAAATGTGTGAAAAAGACAGACAGGAAGAATATGATGGGCAGAAACAGAAATATATAGAGAGAAATGGGCGAAAAGAACGAGAAGAAAGGACAAAGGTAATGAGAGAGGAAAAGAAAGAAAGGATGAGAGAGAAAAAAATAGATATAATGATAGAGGGAGAGAATCGATCAAAAGAACGAATGAAATAGAGAAGGAAAGTGAGAGAAAGTGCAGGAAAGGGAGGGAGAGAAAGAGATATAACTAATGTGAGAGGAAGAGAGAAAAAATGAGAGAGAAAAATAGAGAAAGAATGAGAGAGAAAGAGACGGGACCATATACAATGAAAGCAATAGAAACGGAGGGAAGAGAAAAAAGAGGAAAGAGGAAGAGATATAAAGAATGACAGAGAAAAAGACAGAAAGAATGAGGAAGCATAAAACAAAGAATTATAAGTAGACCAGAGAGAAGGGAGTAAGGAATGTATCAGTGACGAACATAGAGAAAAAGTGAATAAAGAAGGAAAAAACATGTGAAAAAGAGAAACAGGAATTATAAGAAGGGGAGAGACAGAAATAAAGTTAGAGAAAAAGGCAAAAAGAATGAGTATAAGTGTACGAGAAATAACAGAAAATATCCAAAAACTTATTAATACACCGTATCTCTTACTATATAAATAAAACATTGGACAAATGCATCAATTTCGATAGCGACTTCCTGGAAACTTAGGATGGTTCTACGTACAACGATTGTCCAATATTTTGTTTGTATAGGACTAGATATATTTGGATTAGTAAATGCCTGTTACTTTTCGGTCATCAATTCATATATATATATATATATATATATATATATATATATATATATATATATATATATATATATATGAGCAACAGCAAAAAGCAAACTTATCTTAGTTGATGTGTCTCGTACTCTAATGGAGTGTATTAAGGCAAATGCGATCATTTTGTTTTGCAACAAGTATTTATAAAAAGAATTTAAAATGTTTTTAGTTTTAAAATATAGATCTGCGACTCGGAAATTTATTTTTCAAATATCTCCCTTCATAAGCCAACATACATGATTATAAACATCTTAAGGAAATAAAACACAGGGTTTAAAGTTCATGATCTCTTTTTATTTAAAATCTAAAATACATAAATTAAATCCAACATGAAGTAATGTCAATATTAATTATATTAAAAAAATATTAAAAACAACATTCTTTACTGCCTAAAGGGATTCGAGGTTCTGTTTAGAAAACATCATTGATAATTTTGAAGAAATAAATTTAAATTCCGTAATTTGCTTCATGGAATTTCAAAATATCATTTTAACTCAGATTCGGGCGATTCCGGCCAAAAAATCGATTTGGGCCGAAAATCCCATTTGGGTCGGAAATCCCATTTGGGCCGAAAATCCCATTTGGGGCGAAACTGTGATTTGGGCCGAAATTCAAGTTCAGGCCTAAAACTGAATTTTTCAAATCCCAACCTCGGCGGAACTTTAAAACCTCACATCACGAAACCTCTAATTTTCATTCTAATTTCTTGACATTTTGAAGAAATAAAATTGATTTTCTCAATTCACAAACTTATGGAAATATTTTAAATTGAATTGAAAACAAAAAAAAAATTCACTGTTTTTTTGTTACTTTAAATTCAATATAAATTAAAACTTTTAAAATCACTAATTTTTTAAAGTTATTTTAAAATTTGAATTTGTAACTGTTTCCTCCACATCCGGATACAAAACCCAATGCTGGATGTTCACGCACTAGAGGAAGGACAGATTTTCTATCCCGGGATCATCCTAATTCTTAAAAATCTCTATGCCTATGTAGAGCAAGTGTGGCCTGAGTTAAAGTCATTTCACACACATAATCGGATTGACAGAATTTGCATTTTATTCATTTAGATTAAATTAAATCACTTGATCATTTCGACGTGGTGTAATAGTTACCGAGATTTTTGACTTGATCCATTACGACAGAATAGCGAACATTAGGTGCTTCCATACTTTCGGTCTTAAACAAATATCTAATCTACACTTAGAAGATCTCCATTGAATTCGTAGCTTCCATAGATTACCTTGACTTTCACTTAACCTGCTGAATATTTATGAGCGTTTCTTAAATTTAAAAATTTTGACAAAATAACAACATATTTACTTGTGTTTGTAAATACTTGTTGCAAAAAAAAAAATCCTAACATAAAGTCCATCAGAGGACGAAACACGTTGGCTAAAATATTTTTTTATTTGCCTTTTTTCATATTGTCTTTTTACAGATATATTTTTCGTTATATCTGAAATTTGACACACACACACGCACGCGCGCACGCGCACGCGCGCGTGTGTGTGTGCTGCTTATGGAATGAGAGGGATGAAATGGAACAAGAAAATACGGGTTTATAGAGCATGTACCCCTCAGAATCGTGAACTCCATATAGGTCCCATACAAATCAGTTGGTTGTCTTCCACAAAATTAGTTTCCGTGCGATATGCGGCTATGCTTTTGACGACAGGGTATCCAATGCTGTTCTACTCGCAAAATGCAACATTGGTGGAATTGAGACTTTCCTGATGCAGCCACCACGTCGTTGGGTTGGTCATATTGCAAGGATGAGTGATCACAGAAAGTTCTATGGTCCTCATGTATAGCCAGCTTGACAGTGGACAATGCAACTCTAGTATAAAGACAAATTAGAGAGCAACCTATCAGCTGTCAATGTGCCTCATACTGACTTCGAGCGTGTTGCTCTTGACCTGGAGACATTTGTGCCAGAAGTGTATCAGAAATGTTCAAATTGGTCGTATTGACTGGGTTAGGGACAAATGACAACGGCGAAAAACGTCAGCAAATATTTCTGATGTTATGTCGCGAGATCCTCGCTGTTTCACGATATGTGGGCTTGTATGCGGGACACTAGCGGGACTGAAGTGTCACATAGGACACAAACAAAGAAACTGAATGGGGATGACGAATCCTCATACGACGAAATCAGCGGTAAAGTACATTTAGATGCGTTAAG